CACACACACACACACACACACACACACACACACACACACACACACACACACACACACAGCCGTGTTTGGAAAGAGAAGAATGCGTGCGGGATCGTGAGCGCAGGGCAAGATTTTCTTCTCCAAGCACTTCTCACGATCGCGCGAAGTCCAAGAACAAGTGCGCGACCATGAGAAGGCACCTGCAAGAAAAGGTATGTACAATGTTTTTGAAAAATTTCAAGAAGTTTTTGTATAACGTACATATCTACTTCTTGGAGCTGTATGTAGACGGTCCAGGTTCTGGACGTATCTTCCGCAGAGATGCATAGCAGCAGATCAATCGAGATGCTTCGCACCTCTCCCCAAAGGCGTTCAGATTCAGGCACCAAATCTGATGCTGAAACGACATATAGGGACCTTTCGCAACAGCCCTACACAAAGGCAAAGATAGTGAAGAAGGGCAAGTACCTCGCCCTGACAGGCCTACTCACAGGTGTGGGGTTCCCTCCTATTTCTTTATTACTAATATATATATATATATATATATATTTTGGGGTAACTTCGGCGCAGTCACGAAAACAGTTTGTAATTTCACTTCAGGCAATCCTGCGAATACAACACACCCCCACGCGACCCCACTAGGTCATATACATTCAACATTACCGGCCCTTTTGCCTCAAGTGCAATTACAAACTCAAACCCTGACTGCGCCGTAGTTTTCTCATATATATATATTTTTTTTGCCCCTCGCTCTAGGAAAGTTGCACCCTAAAATTCGTTCGACAAGGTACGTACCTTGTATTTGAATACAAGGTACGTACCTTGTATTTGAATACAAGGTACGTACCTTGTATTTGAATACAAGGTACCCTGTACCTTGTATTCGTATACAAGGTACGTACCTTGTTTTCGGGTTAAGACGGTAGGACGCGTCCCACTTCTGCTTCCAAGAGCAACCACTTGTTGGACTTCAATGGTCCCAACCACTGACACGTTCCGGATATGGCTTGACCTTACGTTGGCGAAAACCTCCCTCCAGACACAGACTAAGCCCCTTGCCACCACCCAATACCTATGACGCACACTGCTTCTGCCACAGCAAACACCTTCGTACTCTTCCCTCTGAGGGCGGGGTACAACTTGAGTGTGGCTGTACAGTCTCCGGTGTAGTTTACATCTTGAGTTCTATCAGCTGATAGCATTGGTGTGCCACCATGCATAGCATTGGTGTGGCTGTACAGTCTCCGGTGTAGTTTACATCTTGAGTTCTGTCAGCTATGGTGTTGTTTGTCGCCTCTACCTGCTGATAGACACCAGTGCCACTGCATTGGACCAGTAGACGAGCACGCACATGCTTCTCGCACAGCACCGGCTGAAATAGAGAAGAGGACAAAGTTTGGATTCTCCAGCGAACATGCGTCCGATTACACAGAGCTGACAGAATCATTTTCTACTCGATTCATGCATGTCATCCTTGCGCAGGGGCCATGCTAATCTTCTATTTATGGTTCCTATTTTAATGGATGTTCCGAAGGGACAGAATCATTGCAATTCCGCCCTCAAGAAAGACAAACGAAAGAAAGAAAGAAAGAAAGAAACTATTAATCCCATCACGGACCCGTCCCACTTTTTCACTTTCACAGCTTGATTCCCCACTCCAAGACTGTCAATATGGACACCGTGGCAGGAAGGTAAGGGGCAGGTTCAGCTTACCCGGATCCTTCAGTTTGGACCGTTGATCCTGCGATCAATGGACGAAAGTCAGTAGTGCGGCCAAGTTGTACCCCGCCCTCAGAGCGTCGAAAACGAAACGACCGGATCCTGGCTCTGCCTGTCTTCCTCTGACACAACGCACCAGTCCCGTACAGTCAAAATGAGGGTGCTTTGTGCCCGGGGGAAGACGGCTGAGGTGATGGCTGTGGGCGGGGGCGCAGTGGCCGCTTCTTGTTTTGGAGCCAAGGGCGCGGGAACCACTGGGATTTCGCGTTTCGGTTATAACCCGCGGTGGCGGTGGGGGGAGGCGAAGGAATGACTTGACTCGTTGCCTTTTTCATAACACCTGCCAGAACACGTGCGTTTTCCCCGTTGTGTTTGCAGAGGGGCACCCTCCCAAGCCCGTGCTTCCCAGGTCAGGCGCTCGAACCCTATTCACTTCAGTACCCAACAACCCAATCGCATGAGAGCTTATAAGAGGCGGCTACCTGGATAAAAAAAGAAACAAAAACGAGGCGAAAGGTCGGAACTTCAAAGAACCTCCGTCCTCTTTGCTTCTCCCCCCCCTGCCGCGGGGTACAACGAAAGGCGGGACACAAATGGAAAAAAGGAAAAGAGAAAAATAAAAGGGCGGGACTCTCCATCCTTCGCGGGGTTCGGTTACGTGGGGGCTGGAAAAAAGGTGGGAGCAGGGCAGTTTCTGGGCGCGCGTCTTGACGTCCGGCTCCCGCGTCTCTCTTCGCCCCTCTTCTGCGGGTCTCTTTGGCTTCCCTCCCTGGTGGTGTGTGGCCTTGCGCGACATTTGCGGGTGGCGCTGGGTTGATGGGTTTCCACGGCGAAGAGGCAGATCTTGCTGGAGGTGATACCCATGCTTTTTGGCATAGTCTCGCACCATAGTGGGGGACGCAAAGCCAGCATCAAGGTGACTGCCTGCCACTTGCCGGCATTTTGCAGACCTCGAGTTGAACTGGCGGTGGGTGTATCCATCTCACCGAGTTGGGGTGAGCAAGCCCTTAGTGTCCTCGGGTTCCTCTTGCGATCAGCCAGTGGGCGAGCAACAACAGCAGTTGCAGGGGATCGTTGTGCAGGGAGCTGGAGCGCGACTTTTGGGGGGGGGTGGAGAAGTGGGTGAGGGTCCCCGCCTTGATTAGTCGACCTCCCACTTGGCTGACATTTGAAGCAGTAGTAGGTCAAGGATCGGGTTCCTACTGGTTATCATCGCCTGGCGTCGGGAGTGGCTGTACGCGTGTGTTTGTGGAGAGCGGAAGTCCGCGCCATCATTATTATTATTATTTTTTTTTTTTTTCGAGACGCGCCATTATTTCTGGGCAGCCAGTTGAAGGAAGGAAATCGGCCGTGCTGTGTGGTGGGCCGGCGCCGGCGGTCGGTTTTTGGCATCTCGGTTCTTGGTTATGCCTTACTGTTGTTGTCGTGACCGTTGCTCAGCGGTAATAACGGAGTCAGGGGAGAGGGGGGGGGGAGTGGGCAGCCCGGCGAGGGAGGAAAGGGGGCGGGGGAGGGGAAATCGTTCTGGCAGTCCCGATCGGCGGTGACCAGGATGACGATCATGCCGCCAGCGGGCTACTGGCCATGCTAGACGAGGAGCAAGACGGATTGAAGATTCATGCTCTCAAGAATTTGAATCTTCTTGTTGACCAGTTTCGGCCCGGGATCTCCTCCGATATTTCCACGATGTATGTTCCTCACTCAGACCTTTCCGCTGCCCACGCTCTGCTGTGTCTGATTGGATCATCTCTATGGGCTGCTCTTTCCGAGATGCATCAAATGAATAAATATGTATGCATAAAAAATCATGGATGGATGGATCGCCTTGCTAGTATAGGCTAACAATCATCATATGGAGAATGCAACAAACAGCTAAGTGGAAAGAAAGCATGCATGGGATAACGAGGGCAGCGGCGAGGGAGGAGACAGATGAGCATTTACAGTAATTCTCCCATACTGGCGAGAAGGGGAGGAAGCGGATGGAAGAGGAGAAAGTGAGGGTAGGAAGAGAGAGAGAGGAGAAGGAGAATGGAACGCAAGAGCCTAGAGTGTTACAGCAGAGGCCGAGAGAGCAGGGGAGAGGGAACGGAGAAGAGAGAAGGAGGACAAGTTGAAATGGGGTTGGCGGGGTTACGGCGAGCAAGATACATGGGTGGGCGAGGGAATGGAGATCTGCAGCGGAGAGCGAGAGGGAGTTGGAGACGGTGCGGAGGAGAGAGAAGGTGGAGCAGCGAACGGGGTGTGGCGGTGG